GGGGGGGGGGGACAACTGGTCCTCAGCTAACCCCCCCATGCACCCTCGCCTCGTGTACGCCTATCAGGCCTGCGAGCGAAATTCAAAATGTGCCTGCAAAAACACATCTTATATTTAGATTTTGTGACCTAAATATATTTAAAATGTCAGTAATTCAAAATGTGCCTGCAAAAACACATCTTATTTAGATTTTGTGACCTAAATATTTAAAATGTCAGTAATTTAAAATGTGCCTGCAAAAATTCAAACGGTGCCTGCGAGCGGTTTATTGATGCCTGACGCCTAGAAATATATATTCTATCTAGTAAGTTCATTATTAAAGTTGCCTTATTGTATTGAGTTCAACATGTACAACGACAACACAGCGGGGAGGTCAGGGGGGTGTTAATCTATATAGTAAATATTTTTCCGCTTAGCGGCTGTCTGCAGTTGTATGGCGTTGTTTCAAAGGTATGTTTTTGTAATGTTTCATTCCTTTCCACGAAGTATCGTTTACGGTTGTTAGTTCTTCATATAGAGCATTATTTAAGAGCATATTCTAGTTGTAAACCTAGAAATTTTGCACATTTGCTGGATTAATAAACGATGTAGTTGTGGTGTTAAATTATATGTCATGTGGCGGCGTACTTGTAGCATGCCAACATTTTGTTTTTGTTGTCTAGAGGAAGTTTCATTGTCTCATGCAACACAGAACGTAGTCATAGCTGTGAAAATAATTAAACATGTGTATTTTAGTGACCGCTAACTGTGAGGAATTGAAAATGAACTCTTTTGCTTTCGTTTGATCGTTGGTCTCCAGTAGACGTCTGTAATTCTGTATAATATTTTATATTGTACATATCGAGTTTCGCTCTTTCATGTTATTGTTATATTATGAATATAATATGTCGATAAAAAGCGAATAATTGTGGCAAATATGCAATTTATAGATTCATTTCTATAAATGAGTAATGTATGTATAAGTGATGTTAAATACATTTCATGTTTAGCAATAGTCCATGGCCACATGTTGTAATTTATAATTATTCTTCTACTATTAGTATTGTACTATTGCTGATGAATATGACTATAAAGAATCATAAACAAAGTCGGTTATACTTTGAAGTTGAATGTCTATTAATTTACGAACAATGATTCGCAAACGAGCGCCATTATAGTCAGAATGAAGGTATATTAATAAATAATGTAAAAAAGAATATTCCTTGCTAATCAAGCATCCTGTCTGTGTCAACAAACGTGTAAAAGTCGTGCAAATTGTACATTTGCCATAAGCATACATAGACTTAACTTTAAATTAAAGGAAATTCAATATAAATGAATTGTGGGGGTTTGCATTGTGCATATAAAATATGCATTTGATATCTACTAAGACTCTAAGTATAAGAATTCTAAACTGATTGCATTATATCCAAGCGACCTCGCAAGCGACAATCAACGCTTGTAGTTGTTCGATCAAAGAATATCTAACACCAGCCAAACAACTATTACAGTAAAGGCTGATTGAAATGTATGTTTATGCAGTTCGAAAGCTTTGCCTGCACTTACATATCAAATCCACTTATACATCCTGAAATCAAGAAAGGCCTTTATAGTTCGAACGTCGAACATTTCATGTGCCCACCTAATGCAAATATAAACAATACGTTTCCGTCAATTATGAGATGCACACGATATAAAGCATATTGATTATTGTTTTGAACATCGCCTTAATCTGAACTTTCATTTTTCAGCGAACTGTCAAATAAAGATGATGAGTGAAATTGGCTAAAGTTTCTATTTTGCCATGTTCTCAAACATTAACAAACGACTTCGATCTATTTTCAAACTAAAGGTCACTTTAACCGTTTTTGTCATCCTGTCGATTACTCTCGCGTTTGCGAACTTTTTTATCTTGATATCTTTGAGGACAACTGCTCATGGCCAACCTGAAAGTCTGCTACAGTCTGTGTTTCTTATCCACTTTCACAAAAATGTGTCCGTGTTTGCTCGCGAGGATCATAACAAACGCGACGATGATTTGCATAAATCGAGGGGGATAAAGAAAGCAGATGCAGTGAACAGAAGTGATGGCAGAGAAAGAATACGAGATGAATTGCGTGCGTCAGAAAGGACGCCAGAAACTGGGCATTTTAAGACCCACTCAAAAGTTAAACAGATAACATCACATAAAGCTGGAAAAGCTGGAATAATGTTTAAAGATAAGATAAGTGAAAAAATACGTCCATCAACCAGAGGTCTCTTGAGTAGCAATTGTACAGCGTGGTGTCGCCGTGGTAACGGACTGAAACCTCCATACTTGCTAACAGCGGTCTTACTCGTACGTATATACCGCCATGACTTGGCTAAACTCTCCAGTCGTGAAATGATTCAATGGCTGCAGTATTTACGTTATGCTGGCTTCCAGCACGTCTATGTTTACGACGCGTATGTGAAACCATCCGAATCACAGCGTGACGTCATCAAACCGTTTGTCCAATCAGGTTTCGCCACGTACATTGATTGGAGTATTCATAATCCATACACGATACAGGGCACACAAGTTGCAGCCTACCAAGATTGCATTGATAAGTTTGGGAGAGATTCAAAATGGCAAGCTGCGATAGACATTGATGAGTATCCATTTAGTCCACGTGATTTGGACGAGAACTTTATGTCGCGATTTCTAGATGAATATTCCAGAAATAATCCCGATGTTTCCGAGATTTCAATGAAGAATTATCTATTTCTAGGAAAACCGATTGATGATGCAATAGAACCTTTCTTAGTGGCCCGCATTAGACGGAGAACGGATAAGCCCGCGAACCCACTTGTTAAACCTATATACAAGCCAGCGGCAATCGCATGGGCCCAGGTGCATCATAATGGAATGAAGACCGGGTCTAGTATGGATAGTCCCCAACACATGTTACGTATGAACCATTACTGGGGAGCTAGGTTACAAAACTGGGGAGATGACACGCCCAAAATCCTCGATATGACTGAGCCTGATTACACAATTGAACCTATAGTCAAAAGAATGAAGCAATGTGCTAGCTGTTTCGGGCAGGATGGTTTGTATGTTACAAGATGGGCGTAAACTAGGATTGTGACTTTACATGGCACAATTGAACCTATAATCAAAAGAATGAAACGTTGTGCTAGCTACTCAATTTGGCTGGATGATTTGTGATTCGAAAAGATGAGCGTAAACTTTGTCCAGAAAGACGTTAATTAAGCCTGTAGTGCAGACAATGAAGCAATGTGCTTCAGTATAGTTGGCTATAGTATAGTTAGATTTTAGAGCGTGAATTTTATCAAATCAAGAATAAAGTATTTTAATATATAGGCTAAGCACGATTAAGAGTTTTTGCATCGTCTTGTTAAAACCCATGCATTAAATTGTAATGCTCCCTACTTTATTATGTTACTCTGTCTGATGCCAGACGATGTTACTCTGTCTAACGCCAGACGATTTTACTCTGCCTAACGACAGACGATTTTACTCTGTCTAACTCCAGGCGATTTAACTCTGTCTAATGCCAGACAATTTTGATGCTCCCTGATGCGCCCTACTTTATTATGTTACTGTGTCTAACGCCAGACGATGTTACTCTGTATAATGCCAGACGATTTTACTCTGTTCAACTCCAGGCGATTTTACTCTGTCTAACGCCAGACAATTTTACTCTCTATATAATGCCAGACGATTTAACTCTGCCTAACGTTACTCTGTATATCATGCCAGATTTTACTCGTCAATGGGAGAGTGCTGGGGCTCAATGAGTTCTCACTTTGGCTCTCGCCATTTAATTTGTTTTTTTTCTTCATTGCTTTCGGGAATAAAAAAATTATGGAAACTATCGCACATAATCACCGCGTGGGATTTTTTCAGAGATATGTCTGAGAAATGTGTACCTTAAAGACGCAAAAATGAAAAGGGATTTTATCATATGATTATCTGCAGCATTTAATTTACTATGACTGACTGTTTTGTATTACGCAGCGCACTGAAGAACTGAACGTCAGTGAAGAGCGATCCCGGATGATGTGGTTATATCTAGAGTTAGTGTCCACAAACATCTTGGCATTTGGTTAGAAGAAATACTCTCTTGGGACAGTCATGTTAATAATATATGTGCGAAAGCTGACCGTGTTTTGGCACTGATCAAGAGAACATTTACAACCAAGAATGGAACGGATGTTGAAATGGCGTTTAAAGCTCTTGTCCATCCTATTTTGGAATGTGGTTGTCCAGTTTGTAATCCATATCTCCAAAAACATGTTCACTCTTTGGAATCAATTCAAAGGAGGGCAACCCGCCTAGTTTGTGGATCATCGTTGCCTTATGCAGATAGGTTGAAGAAACGTGGATGGTCTACCTTGCCCTTGGAAGTGCGGAGGAAATGTTTATGCTTGGTTATTCTTTATAAAATTATTTTTGGATAAACTGACATTGATCCAAATAAATATTTAGATTTAATGGGTCCTACAAGAACTAAGGCTAAGTACTAGATAAAACATGAGCAGCCGATCTGTATCTGATATACAAACTCGAGCCGAAGGCGAATGTTTGTATATCAGATACAGATCGGATGCGCGAATGTTTTATCGTAAAAAATGTCCCATCTTATATGAGTTCATTGGTGAAGTGATTTTAAAAATAAACATTGTCTAAGCCGAGAAAATCAAAGCTGAAGTTTATGTAAATCAGGACAAATCTTTATCCGATTTACAAACATTGATTAAACATTCATTTCTTTTGTATTTTCCTCGTGAATTATTAATGATTTTTTTAATTATAATTATAAATTGAGGCTAATCATAATTATAAATTGAGACCTAAATAATTTCACACTAATTATTTTCAATTCTCTTTTTTCAATCGTTATGTTCAAGAGTGGAATACAATAACTATACAAATACAAATACAATACAATAAAATATCCAGTAATACAAATATACAAGAGACGAAAATGAATTGGGGAAATGGGGAAACTCGAAAACTGAATGTTTTGGGGGGAAACTCGAAAACTCGAAATTGTATGAAAACACTCCGCCCTTCGGGCGTCGTGTTTCCATACAATTTCTCGTTTTCCCAATTCCACCCGTGTTGATGTAACTATATATCAACACGGAAAATGTTTTATATTTGCTAAATGTCAAGCTTTTATGCACGTGTGGGTTCAGCAGAGTGCTGAGGCATTCAAATTCTGACAATACGTTGTTTCAGTAGTTCGTTTTTTGGGGGACACCCTGGATATTGTCACTCATGCAAAATTTTCCAGATTTCAGATATCTATGGTTTTTCCGCGTTTTTGACCTTATTATAAGAAAGGTCTATTGGGAGGGCAGTATAGGCAATTCCAGCTTTTAGTTTATGCGTGCAGGGGACGATGGGAAGTAAGGTATCATATTGCTGATTATGCTGAAAAAATAAAAATGGTGGCCGTGTAAACACGGAGTGATAGCTTATACTTGTAAATATTGAAATATTTCGGTTGTTTCGGTAGTTTTTATTGAAAATTTTCAGCATAATCGGCAATATGATACCTTACTTCCCATCATCCCCTGCAGGCATAAACTAAAAGCTGGAGTTGCCTATTCCCTTGGCCTTGAGCATTCTAGAACGCCGTAACTAATCACGCTATAGCTACTTCAGTAGCTATAACGAAGTCGTGTCGGGTGTTCTGGTGAACTCACGGACTATATTGCCGCTATACTCGACTTTTAGGGGTTTTTGCAAAGAAAAGTAAGTACTTAAATAAAGTTAGTAAAGGTAAATAAAGTTTAGTAATGTATGATTTGGCTTCGATACAAAAATATAAGTAATTGTGTGTTTCTGTTGTTGCTATTATATTAGAGAGTTTGAGCAAGACAACGAAGTACGAAGACGAAGGCGTACTTGACAATTTTTGCCGTTTGCACATTATCTTGCGATTACTGAGTTGGACGTCACTGGTGGTTGCTCAACGTGTTTTCCCATATGTCGCTGTTTATGAATACCGACCCTAATTCTTGCACTGACCAAGAAAAAAACAGCGAGACATGACACTATATCCCGTTTTTGTCCTTCTGCCTTGGTTCGGAACGAAGTTCACAACGAATTTTGCCAAAATATTCGTTCCGAACGAAGGCAGAAGAACGAAGACTGGATATGGATTCATGTCTCGCTGTTTTGTCATGATCAGGGTAAGGATTTGGGTCAGCATTCATAAACAACTTAGACCTGAATCTCGAATTTGTCTTCACCCCTGACCCTAAACTCGGAATGTTCAAGATAACGTGCAAGATAAGCAAAAATTGTCAACCACGTCGTTGTCGTTCGATTTCGTTCTCTTGCTCAAACTCTCTATTGTCGGATACAAGACCGCGCAACGCCGGAATCACGTTGAAAGAACACATTCTAATGTGCATGCTAGTATAAGCTAACTATCACCAGCGAGGGGCATTTCACTCCAAAAAAGCGTACGGGATTTTCGGATTTTTAAAAATCCGCGGATTTTTTAGCGGATTTTTCCGGATTTTTAGGCCGATTTTTGAAGAGAAAATGTGTTGGATTTTCCGGATTTGTTTGGATTTTCCAGATTTGTTCGGATTTTTTCCGGATTTTTTAACGAAGCGTACGGGATTTGCGGATTCTTAAAAATCCGCGGATTTTTTAGCGGATTTAGCGGATTTTTCCTGGATTTTTAGCGGATTTTTGAAGAGAAAATCTGTTGGATTTTCCGGATTTATTCGGATTTTTTCCGGATTTTTTGACGAAGTGTACTGGATTTTTGGAGTGAAATTCCCCTCGATCACCAGCATGCTGCGATAGACATTGATGAGTATATTCTAGCCTCCTCCGCAGGCAACTCTGTGGGGGCCTATAATAGGTAAAAATTTACCAAAAGTACTCTTTATTAACTTCATATTCAATAAATTTGCATTGCAAACTCGTATACAGGTTATATGAATTACTTTGACCGCGCTCAACAAAAAAGTGTCCTGGAGACGAGAATGAGGGGAAAACGGGGTATTAGAAGGGGGTATCAGGTGACGATGGGGCAGGACACTTTTTTGTTGTGCGCGGTAAAAATAACTCGTATATGAACTTATACGAAATATCAAAATTTCTTGTTTTCAAGTGGTTTGCAATGCAAATTTATTGAATATGAAGTTAATAAAGAGTACTTTTGGTAAGTTTTTAACCTATTATAGGCCCCCACAGAGTTGCCTGCGAAGGAGGCTAAGTATATTCATTTAGTCCACTAGATGAATATTCAAGGTAATATTAATCCTCGTGTTTCTGAGATTATAATGAAAGAACGCATTCCAACGTCACGCTCCTCCACAGGGGGCGTTTTTCACTGTTCGCGCGAACAAATTCGCCTAGTGGAAAATAGGCTTAATGCCAGACGATTTTACTCGTCAATGGGAGAGCACTGGGGGGGGGGGCTGAATGGGTTAAAATTAAAATGACCAGAAAAGTACGAGCCTACAAGCAAGCCGAGTTCATTGAACTATAAATAAACTGGAAGGCTAACTCAGGGGGGGAAATTGAAGCCAGTGCATTTTAGTTTTTCTGAGTTATGAGCAGAAATACTCAACACTGAACATTGGGCTATATATCAAATTGAAGCTATTGAAAAACACTATTTGGTGTAGAAATTTCAAGACTTTAGCTAAAAGGGAAATATTGAAAAACTACAAACATAATTACCGATAATTTGCCGTTTTGCAGTTGTTTTTGTATTTTTTAACTATTTTTCTTTTCGCTGAAGTCTTGAAATTTCCACACCGAATAGCAATTTTCAATAGCTTCAATTTGATATATAGCCCGACGTATGGGGTCAAGTATTTCTGCTCATAACTCAGAAAAACTATTTTGGCTTCATCAAATCATAGGCCTTCGTCATAGCAGTTAGCCTTCCAGTTTATTTATAGTTCAATGGTCAACGCTCTGCTGAAAGTCGTGGGTTTTCTCCGCCGGGGTGCTCCGGTTTCCTCCTACAAGGAAAGTTAATATTTCGTTCTTTCGGTTTTAAGCACTGAGGGTGGGTTAGAATAAACATAGTTAGAGGAAAGTAATGTCACAAGTGTTGTATAAAGATAAATACTCTAGGCTAAGTATATAGTAACTAAACGCAAGTAATATGTAATATTGCTATCAAACCAAAGCTTTCTTAAATGATTTATCCTATAGATTTGCACTACACTACATCAATGATAAATCTTTTATAGATTGATGGAATTGGTTTGAAATATTCGTCTCACCTTTTTCTTTTGCAGTTGATGTGGGTGTGTTTGATGCTCGTCTTTCTCTGCTCTTGTCACGCCAACTAGATTTTATGAAATGCGTATTTCTGCGCAGAAAGAAATCTATAAAGGTAAAAGATTAAGTTTAATTGTCAACATTTAAAATCTGCTAAAAAGCCATAACAATTGGTTATCGCAATTGGTTATCGATAATTTGATTTTAGTTTGGGAAATATAACGGCGCAAATGGCGCAATTCACGCAAATATATATATTTCTCTCATATGCTTTAAACTTCATCATCTCGCCACAGCAACGAAATTGAATTCTAGGACTGCAATTCTTGGGGGGTCATACATTTACTGAATTCAAAATTCGTGTCACTGTTCAGTTACAATTGACGAAAAAAATCATCCTTGAAAAACATTTTGAAAATTCACTGACTTTTCATTAATGTATAGTTTAAAGTTTCTCATCACAAACTTAACTGACCTAGTCCTAGATTGCAAAAATTTAATAAGCTTTTATATCCGATCAATGTTACTAATCTAGCGTCTGACAAGAAAAACCAACTTACATACCTTTTTTGGCAAGCGCATTTTCGTGCAAACATAAAATAACTATAGTCAACAAAAAAATCTGACAAGAGGTAGCCATATTGTTTTTCAGTGAAGCGTTTAGTTTAAAAGCTTAAAACGGTCCAATGGAAGGACCTGTCAGGCTTTAAAATTTTCTTTGTTTATTATTAATCGCTTCACACTTGATATAAATAATGATGTTTGTAAACAAATGATATTAAACGTCATTATCTCAAATTGCGCTGCTACTGATCTCTCTAGCTAACAGAATGGAACTTACTAGTCAGTTTCGCTAAAAATGGAGATTTTCAAGCCATTTCACCGTTGACTGATCACAAACAAGAAATATCCTTTGTACTTATACGGATAAAGCCCAGGCCATATCAGAAACATTTTTTTTGAAAATATTGTTTTCTAGCCGCGTTTCCGAAATTGTATTGCGATTGTATTTCCAAATTGTATTGCGAGTCATCCTCGACGGCCAGTTGGCCGCGTGCGTGCATTCTCGTCGCGTGCATTCTCGTCGCGTGCATTCTCGTCGCGTGCATTCTCGTCGCGTGCATTCTCGTCGCATGCATTCTCGTCGCATTGCGTGCATTCTCGTCGCGATTTTACTCGGAAATTCATGAAATTACCATTTATTTATAGATTGAGGGTCCCTGGTTTTCTTGTTTTATAATTAGATAGAAGTGATTGATGCAGACGCAAAAAGTCCTTGAAATTCTCAAACGAAATCGCCCGCCCACGTGTGATAGTGATTTTTCCGCCCACTTGATCTGGATGGGTACATTTGAGTATATCAATGTATATTATAGAATACATGAGTACACAAATGTATATGAGTGTATATTTTCGAATATACTAGTACATCTTAGTACATGGAGGTACATCGTAGGATTCATGGATACACATTTGTATATTATGGGATATATATATATACATCATTATACACGGACATACATTGAAGGGTATAAGAGTACAGATAGGGAATAAATCGGCTGGACAAATTTATTCCGACAAAAAATTCGCCAACAAACGGAAGCGGGCATCGAAACTACGCAGAGGAAACTACGTATCGGGCGAAGGGTGTTTATTTACATTATTCCATTTTATTTCGATTGTCATTGAGTTTTTAACTCTTCGAGGTTTTTAAACAGAATTATGGCTTATAAGAGTCACAAAGATCATTCAGAAATCAGTAAGACTGTAAAGTATTTGTTGTTTTCCTTTAATGTCATATTTTGGGTAAGTTTTACTCGATTTTATTGTAGATTTTTCAAGGTTTTTATAGTCGCAACACTTTCAGCATAAGATTTTTTTCTGTGTTGGTGTTGTGTACTCAGGTGAATATAATATTTGTGATGTTACTCTGAGTGTTTATCCACACTAGGCTAGTATTCCAAAGGTCGTAGGTTCGAATCCCACCGTGGCCGGGCATATTTTTCAAGCTCGCCCGGTGTGGATATACACTCATAGTAACATCACAAATATCACTTTCAGCATATTAATTTTGTCACTAGCTGTTTTGACGCAGTCAAGTGGCGTTCAAACACGAATTGCCATCGATAGTTTGTACTGTTCACATACCCTTTTATATTTTATTATATCTGCAGCAAATAATGCGTTCTTTATTAGATTTTTTGATAATTTTATGAAGCTTCTCAAATTTTATGAAGCATCGAAACTACAGACGTGACCTATTAATGAAATTGAACACTTGAATACTTCTATTGCCAACGCAACAAACTTTCCAGTTCTTAAATTTTTTTTCTTGTGAAAATGGTTTTGTATGAGAGATATTTTATATATGAGAGTATTTAGTGTAGTCTTTATAAATAGTTGGATGTCATTTTGGTATATTTGGTATTGTTGGTTGTACTATATTTTTAAGATTAATCACCGAATATTATCAATTCCATCAAAACATGTTTTAAACAGTGGAATTAAGGCTGATTTACACTACTCAACTTTTGCCTAAAACTGTCACATGCAACCTGCTTACAACTTGAGTTGTACTGTGTAAATCAAGCATACAATCAGCTACAACAACATAGGCAATTTGCTAGCTTCGTTTTTTCTTTAATCACTTAACAATCGTATATAAAGATTGATGGCAAGGACAACAGAACATAAGTCTCTTATGAAGTCCCACCAAAACATTACAAGACAAAGATTATGTTCAATGTGCAGTGTATATAAACAGGGTTTGTAGCAAGTATTTGAAATCCTTGAAAGTCTTTAAATTTGAATGCAGGTCTTTAAGGTGTTTGAAAAGTCTTTGAAGTGTGTGAAAAAGCGAAGAAAGTCTTTAAAAGTCTTTAAATTCTTTAGTGAGTGTTTGATTATACGATTTTCTAACTAATAAAATAGATTGACTGATGCAAAATTTGACGAAAAAGTGCATTTTAGGATGTGATTTGACCGGACTAATTACCTGGTAAAAATGGTGTTTGTACATCGCAATTTTTCGACAACTGATTGCTCGCAAAGGTCTTTGAAAAGTCTTTGACAATAGGCAGAAAAAATGTTTGAAAGTCTTTGAAATTTTTTGTTCTTGGAGACTACGAACCCTGATAAAACCACAGATATATTACAATTTGTAATCTAAATTGAACAATTAACTAATTGACTAATTGACTAGGAGTAAATCCAAATTAAGATATTTGATTACTGAAAAATTATCCTCTGTTCATAGAAAATCAGTCAAGAAAATGCTTCAATAACTCATTGAGTCGCATTGCACCATGGTCCCTTATGTGCCTGCTATATATGCATGCTCGGTTAAGACAATCTACCTCATCTCGAGTGTCAATCTGACCGCAATTTACCATTGTAGCAAATACAAACACTGTTAAACTTTGAAGGAAATGAAATCTAAAATAAAATTATGTATTTTATCTTAGTTGTTGGGTGGTGCATGTCTTGCTATCGGCATTTACGCAAGATTTGAAACTGCAACATATTCTGATTTCTTTGGCAATGCCTGGAGTGATCCTGCATTCTTCTTCATTATTGTGGGTGGAATTATGTTCATCTTGGGTTTCACTGGATGTATAGGAGCTTTGAGGGAGAACATATGTTTACTGAAGTTTGTAAGTATCCACCAGTTTCATGTGAAACTTCATTGTCTGTCAAAGCATTTGAAAGCTTCAAGTTTATTGCCTGATCAATTTGGTGCACACTTTTCAAATGCTCTTGACAAATGCGAGATTTAGATAAATCCATATTATTGCTGTATTTTAGTTTTCCATTGCACTTGGAGTGATATTTTTCCTGCAAATTGTGCTTGGTGTTCTTGTGTTTGTTTTCAAGGGAAAGGTATGATCCAATGATCCAAACTTGCTTCATTTCAATAAATACCGGTGTTATTATAAGACTGTTTTCTTTGTTACTCTCTTCTAGTGATATTTTTTTTTATTTTGTACATTTTAGTTTGAAGAAGTAGTCAAAGACAAACTGCAAGAGACGGTCATAAGCTATCGTGATAATCCTGATTTGAGAAGTTTGATTGATAAAGTTCAAAGAGATGTATGTCTAATATTTCTTTGTCTTACTAAAGTCAGCTTTACACTTGCATGGTTATATGTTGCATAACTTTGGTTGCAGTAACATGTCACATTGGAAATTAATGTTAAAAAATTGACTGAGATATAAATGAGTTATAAATGCTCAAATGAAGGAACATGTACTCAGACCATTCATAACTCATCTACTTAATTGTTCTCGTCCATCAGAAGAAGAGAATCGCACTTAGTCTAGTAAACATGCCTTTGCTGTCTCTAACGCCAGACAAGTTGTCTTGTCAAGAGAAGAGCACTCAATGGGTTAAATATCAAGGGTTTTTTGTTTAGTTTGAATGCTGTGGTGTGAATGACTACAATGACTGGAATGACAATATTTACTTCAATTGCTCTCAAGCCACGACTGAAGCTTGTGGCGTACCTTCATCTTGTTGTATAGCGGACAAGGAGAATAAACAGTGTGGCTACGGCCTCCGAAAGAAGGTATGGTGACAGCCAGAGGCACTCTAGTATGTCTTCTGAAGACCATTATCTTCAGAGGCACCCTGCCTAGTATGCCTTTGGGCCGTGTCCTTTGCAATTTAGCACCCGGCCAGCAATCGAGCCTAGTACCGGTTGGTCAGCTGGAAGGAAAGATGATTTATTTTAATTAGAACCTCCTACTTACTGTATTCCATGAAATTTTTTTTGTGTTTCTCAGGATAAAGTTCAACTTGAAGGCAAAATATTTATCCGAGGTTGTGTTGAAGGTTTTTCTGAATGGGTCGAAAGAAATATCATTATGATTGGGGCAATTGCACTTGGTATTGCATTAGTTCAGGTAAGGCTGTGAGAAATAAACTAATAGCTCTATCAGTTCTAAACTGTTCATCCTATAGGTCAATGTTACTACAGGAGGAAACCGGGATTAAACTAACTTTATTTTACTTGATAGCTCTATCAGTTCTTCCTAGAGATCCAGTAAGGATCATATTTAATAATCCAGTGTTACTACAACTGGTATAGGAGAAACCCCACACTAAACTAACTTTATATATAATAGATAGCACAATCTATGTACTGTATGAGCTCTACTAGTGTATACAGTATGTTGAGGTGTTCATAAATCTTTGAAAATTAATGAGAAACCCGTACTTTCTAGATCATGGGTATATCTTGCTCTCAGAGTTTAATTGGTGACATCAAGGCACAGAAATTGAAGTGGGACCAGCAATGAAAGAATGATCAAATTACCATCGCACCATACTATGTATCCATCTGTATTTATTCACAGCTGCCATGATATCTGATTGATTGTTATTCAGATTTATTAATCTGGATTAATGATTTTGATTAACATAAATCAGACAATCTGCACCTTTGATTATCAACATATACAGTGTAGCTGTATAGAAATCATAGCATAATGTAAAAGTCCTGTTCATAATGTTATTTACTCCACAAACAAATCTGCATACAAAACACTAAGTAAGATGTTAGTTTGAAAACAAAGTGCAAAAAAAATTAAAAGGGTTTCAGTAAGTGAATTGGTTATTTTTTGTAATATAATTCCACACTATATCATCATTTGCATGCTACATTTTGCTATTGAGTTTTCACTCTTGATAGTCATAGATGATTTTATAAAATGTCCATATTTTTAGGGTAAATTCAATTGTTTATATATATATATTGTAATAATAAAATAGTACTCTTTTAACTGTTGTGAGTTTCATTAAGTGAGGTATTGCAGCATCTGTTTATTTTTCAAAGAATAGAAAGATTAGGATGATTTAGATTAGCATCTATAAGTGTATATAGCATTATATCAAAAATACAAAACAATGGACACTCCAAAAACAGTTAACATTTTTAATTCTGATGACTGCAAGCTAGTAGAAACTTCGAATTAAAAGTTTTTAACTGTTTTTGGAGTGTCCATTGTTTTGTATTTTTTTAAATTACTCTGTGTTAACCGTAACTTTTAACATTATATATTCTGCAAATCCTGACTCGTGATGCAGAAATGAATTGGAAGACAACACAGTCTTCGAAAGGTATGGATGTATGTATTTATTCTGAAAGGGTGTTGTCTGGTTTTAGATTGAGTAAGGCCACATAAAATAAATTCCTTGATTCTCATCACTACACTTTGAAAATGTCGAAGAGCCGGGAGGTTTATATTTTATATTTATATAATTTATCATCAATAAATAAAAAAAATAATTCCTAACATTTAATATTTCTGTGATTTCCAAAGTAAAGTATCACAAACCGAAATAAACATATTTCTCCACGAACAATGACTGAACCCTTCAACTGAATGCGAAGTTCCGTTAAAATGCAATGAAATTTCTTTCAAGGTTCTATTTGTTTGAAATTGGCAGTTTAAAATGGCAATAAAAACCCAATTTTAAATATAAAAAACTTAACTGTCTTGAAATATTTGTCGGGCGGTACATTTATATTGTATAACAAAATATAAAAAAATTTCACGCGGCTCTTAAAATACAGTCGGGCGGTGATGAGAATCAAGGAATTTATTTTATGTGGCCTAAAATAGGGTGAATTGCTGCTTACAGTTTCATAGAGGTCTATAATGGTCTATAATATAATATTTTGTGCACTGTTTACTGATGATACATAATTATTTTGAGTTATTTAATATTATTTGCGGTAAAAATAATCTCCATTTTCACCCATAAATCAGATTAACAAAAGCGCCTCGGCACAGCGACCTCGTTTTTCACATAAACTTAAGTCACCGGCTTGATAAAAGTTGTTCTCCCCCCTGAATTAATAAGAAAATCTCTCTGCGTCAGGGGGGGGCATCGATTACAAAAATATTCAATCAAAATATATCACTTTCATCAAATATTCATCATAGCAACGAACATTTACGTTGACAACAGCGTATAAAAATATAATTCTCGATTTAAAATCGCTTAATCTCGTACACTTAAACTTCGCAAAGTCAAAAAAATGGCGAATCTTGTAGTGAAACAAGTAACTCCTGATTTTGATTTCCTTCGTCCGACAAGTAGAGGTTTGCCCGTCGAAAAAAGAGCAGTTAGTTCAAGAGAAAGGTCTCGTTCTTGTGAACCACAGCCAAGAACTAGATTTAAAACACCGCCGAGATCAGCTGTCGGTAAGTTTCGAAATTTGTACATTTTGAACTAAAACGTTTTCGAAATACATTTCCCCCTTTTATGTAGTTCTTGCCTTTCAAACACATAAAATTCAGAAATAATGAAATATACATATGCTTTGCAAGTGAAATCTTCATGTCACATTTCTGTATTTTGTAATGTATTTCAATTTTTTTGTAATGTAATTTCTGTATTTTGTAAACACATTGTGTAATATGCCTGTCTCGATCTAGGCCTCATAAAAGCCGATTTAGACCCACGTTTACATGATGCCGCACAAATTTGCGACCAGACTGAAATTCGTCCTTTTGTGCCTGTTTACACGCAAATTTGTCCGGTTGGGGGGTAGACCTTAAGTTCATCCGGTCCTGTGGTTCTTGTGTAAATGGGCGGCCAAAACGAACAAATTTCAGTCTGGTTCCCAATTCGTCTGGTACTGTGTAAACAGGGTCTTGCATATACTACAGTAAACAACTTGAACTGCATAAAACTTTGCAGTGCATCCAGGCATACGACTAGCCTATGTCACAGAATACTACAAGTTCATCTGCATTGTTTTTGGCATAAGAGCTATTCCTCATGATTCGTTACTCAGCAAGTACCATAAACAGAAGCAGTCCCCCAGGAAATACTCAAAATGGTGCATGTTCAGGGGGGTGATTACTTCTGAATATATATATACGAATAGTGCTTACACAAAAAACAATGAAGATGGACTTCTGTACAGTATTCTGTGCCTACACTGTCATAGGTGAATTGTGTACACATATTTTATAATAACAGTTTTATAATACATTTCGCTTGCTAATTCCAGTATTTTTCTACTGTAACAGACTGTATTGCTAATGAATTATTAGTTATCAGTTCATAAAATTATATTATAATATAGCATTTGTAAATTCTGAACGCTGATTGGCTAAGAGCCGTCAGTTGCTATAACTCAATGTCAACAAGGGAAATTTTCCGCCGCTTGTAAACACGGAAATTTTTCTTATCCTTCGGGCTTTTGACATTGCTATATTATAAAAAAAATATAAAACATTTTTTCCGTATTGATATATAGTTATATCAACACTCGTGGAAGTTGGGAAAACTCGAAATTGTATGAAAACACTCCGCCCTTCGGGCGTCGTGTTTCCACACAATTTCTCGTTTTCCCAATTCCACTCGTGTTGATATAACTGTATATCAACACGGAAAATGTTTTATATTTGTTAAATATTAGTCAAAATCTTGGCACATTCTTTGTCACGGCACAAACAAAAACAATAGAAACCTTGGGACTGCATGAATGTCAATTTCCACCATCCACCATGTTTCAAGATTAAATCACTTCTTGAATGTGTGTTGTCACTCCAGAATATCATAGAGCTCACAGCATTAGGCCTGCACAACCATAAATGCAGTATTGTTATACTGATGCAGCTGCAATCAAAATGATGCTTGTGGTTTAATTTTAGAATCTCCCAAATTGAGTGAAAATGAAATTGAAAAAATGATTGTTCAAAGTGCCAGGCAAAATTTACCAATTTTGAAACAGGTAGGTTTTATCTTGCACACCCTAACTCAAAGCAATATTAATTTTGCTTCCTTGCAACCACGCACTACCCATTGACCCCCCTCCATTATCAACTGCCCCCCCCCCATTCCTGCTCTTTTTGTACCTACTTGCCTGTGCTGTCTCAGTTTCCACCCTCTCCCATCCTTCACCCTCTCCCATCCTCCACCCTCTCCCATCCTTCACCCTTTCCCATCCTTC